CAGGGGCGTGTTGTGTGGGGGCCGGGTGGGGGGGGGGGGGGGGTCAATATCACTTTAATAACAAAACAGGATACACACAAAAAAGTAGCTAATTAAAAAGGAAACTGTTACTGGTTACTAAAGGAGAAATAAGGGTTCTTTTCCAGGGGCCAGTCACATGACCAAAGCCTATACACTGGTCACATGATCACTTTAATAACAGACATGGTCCGAGTTGAGGAGCTGAACTCATTGACTTCCTTGACAAAGCTGTGTCAGGTCTTCCTATATTATTCACCCAAGAGCTTCTGCAGCCACAGATCATGTGACCAGTGTATAGGCTTTGGTCATGTGACTGGCCACTGGAAAATAACCCACATTTCTTTTTTAGTAACCAGTAACCGTTTCCTTTTTAATTAGTTAACTTTTGTATCTATCCTGTTTGCTGAATTTAAAACAGTCTGTATACGGTAGATCTTTGAGGATGTTTTTAGTTGTGAGTCAAGTGGAACAATTAAGAGCTTAAAAATCTGGGTGTGGTGTATTTTTTTTTTTCCGAGACTGTTGTTCTGGGTATGTGAATCCTAGTTCTATCCTTCCACACCCTCTTTGAGCTTGGTGAAAATGCTGATCTGGCAAGTATCGACTAGTGGTAAAACTATCCTTAGATTCTGTGATGCTTTAGGCCAGCACCTCAAAGGTTAAACATTTACTGAGACTGTGATCATATCCTGCAGATTAACACCCTTGTTCCAGGGGTATGGTTGAGGAGGATGTGTTCACATCATTGTGACATTTGCCAGATGCCTGATTTTAGAGGCATAAGCAAGCTTTTGTGTCTGAGGAGAAAAGAGGTGTTGTCTAGTTTCTAGTGAAGTTCTTTTTATTTCACATTTCTTTATTGCAATCCAAGATTGCAGTTCCAAATAGTTTAAAACGGAACTTTCAAGGAGAATTATGAGGCGAGTGATTTTCACTCAGCCTCATAATCTGAGGCGACCTGTGACAATGAAACTGTCACAGGTCGGCTCAGTAGATCGGGAAGGGAGCGAACACATACCGGCGGTCACTCACTTCTTGATCTACCTCTGTCACGCACAGCTCCCTGCAGGGACCCCCCCTACCTGCTCTGATCCTCCAGCGCTGACTGGCGGAACGGACGGGGGAGGGGGCGGGCACAGCTGACTCTGCCTCTGGATAGGCAGAGCCGGCTGTCAATCGCGCAGCTGGGTTGATCTCAACAGCAATGTCAGGATCAGTCCCGGCTGCGGCGTCTCGGTATACTGCGAGCTGTAGCTCGCGGTATACTGAGCTCTGGGTCACGGGAGAACGCAGTTTGTGTTCTCCTGTGACCCTTAGTAGAACTATGGGGAAAAGCCCTGACCCCATAGTTCTCAAGTTCTGACAGATGTTGTCTCCTTTTGCAGGTATGGCTACAGAAACAATAGGGATGCGCCGATACCAGTTCAGATACCAGTGCAGATACTTGGCATTTTCATGAGAACTACCAGGGTTGCAGCTGGGACCTGGCTCTGGTGCTCCACCACTGTCCTGAAATCATTAGTCTGTATTGTTTTAGGAAAACTGTCACATGACAATAAACAAAAATGTATCAGTACTTGTATCTGTGAGGACTTGGACAAGTATCAGTACTTGCAAAAATGGTATCGGTGCATCCCTTTATTTATATTTATAAAAACAAAATCATACATTAAACAGAGAAGTACAAGTCCCAGGTGCTCCGTGTGCTCCTTACAAATGATAGCGGCCTCCTAACTATTGAATTTCTCTCTAGTCTAGTCTTGGAGCTGGAAAAGTATCGGTACTTGTACCGAGCACGATACTTGGTATCGGTGCATCCCTAGAAAACATAACAAATAAGAGCTTATTCTGCCTAAATTCCAGTCATTAAATTTCTCATCCGCATCTCGTCTTGTGTTCAGCCGCAGTTGTCGCCTAGTCTCCGCACTCTGTGCCGGGAATCAGGGCAGCGAGGGAGTCTTGGAAGAGCCAGATCTGCTGCCAAAGGTGGAGGAAGAAGCAGGAATGAGACAAACTGTGATGAGGGAGGACCGGTTAGGGAGAGAGAAGCTGGAGAGGCGGCAGAACAGACTGATGGCAGGAAGATGCAGGAGCAAGAGTACAAAGATACTCTCATCTTCCTGATTCTCTCACCTTTCTCCCTCATCAGCACTGTGCAGATACTGTAGCCGTCTACTGTAGTTGAGCCAAGATAAACAATCATGGCTCAAACTCCACGTATTTTTAATTGCAAGATCAAGATGTGACCTATAGATGTGGGCGACTGAGCAGTGAGGGAGATTTCTTAAAGTGGACCTTTACCCCCCCTTTCACTAAAAATCACATCGGCATGCACCTCTGCATGCTGATATAAAATCATTTTACATTGATTAGCTAAACGAACATTTTTTAGTTTACTTAAAATTTCTTTCGTTCAACTTTGACACAAATTTATGTTTTTGTGCCCAAGCGTTGCATCCTGGGAAAGTTACATCAGCTGGGAAATCTCATCTGTAATCTCACCAGATCTCAGGGAAAAGCATTTTCCTCCCCTGAGACGATGGGCATGGTCACATGTCCTAGTCACATGTGCCAGAGTTCCAGGAAGTAAAGGGAGAGCTAGTAATCTGCCCTTAGTTAAAATGGCCACTGTCAGAAGACTGGGGAAAGCAAGAGAAATAAGGTATAGGCAAAGAATACAAAGTCGGCAATTATCTAGAAGTATCTGTTTGTAGATTGTCATCGCTAAACATTTCTAAAGATACTTTTGTTATTTTGAAGATAAGGGTAAAATTCCTCTTTAACAAGGTAGTGACTTGTCTCCCATGGCTGTGCATCTGGCATAATGGCCGCTCCAGACAAGAAAAAACAGGAGCAACGGGAAGTGAGACGAAATCTCTCCAAAGTAATGTATATCCCCCACAGAAGAATAGGTGTCCCGATGTTTCCCTTTATTCCTGTTCTATTGACCACTCAACTTTCCTTCACTTTTAGTCCCTGTAACAATGATCACCAGGACAAATAGAGGGTGAATCTCCCCAGTGGAGAAATGACAACAAAAACCTGACTGTCTCTTACCCTTCCACATTTAATCTAATATCCAGAACTCTAAAAAAACAAAAACATCTAGACTGTAGGTAGGACTCAGCAATGTGGCCAGTTTACACATAAGTAATAACATAATAATTTGAACAGATAATGCTTTGTGGTTTTCTCTTAACATTTCATTTCTTCTTTCTTTCAGGGCCATCATAGAAAACCTGTTGACCCTTATTTAGACATTGTCAGAAAAGGTAAGCGTTCTGATTGCAGAATCATCGTGTAAGCAGACGAGCTGCAGCCTAAATTTGCCATTTTATTATTTAGATCCATCGGAAGGTATTTAAAAAGTGCAGTTATTGTAATGCCCCATCAGATTTATATCCGGCTGCTGATTCCTGTGATAAGAATCAGCGGATTCTTGTGGCTGGAATCACAGGTTGCTCAGAAGAGCTGCGGCAGCTCCCCCTGTACAAAGCAGTCACAGGCTATCGGGAGTCGCAGCTGTCCACCGTGATCCACATGTACCTGCACATCCGGTACTTACCTGCAGCTAGGGGCATAGGACTACCCCTTCAAGAAATGTCAGCAGCACATCAAAAGTCCTTTCAGGATAACCATGTGTTCATTTAATGAGAACCATGTCGATTCAAAACATGTGCTTTTGGGACCACGCAGGGTCCCTTCATCAGGCTTTACATTGAGGGATATCCGGTAAGGAGTGCAACAAGACTTTCATACAGATGACTTCCCCTGTCCAAAGTCACAGGTAGCCACTGGATTGAAATATCAAGTATTAGAAATGTTTACCTGCAGCGTGCTTCCATTCGTTTAGTTCTGCGTTTGAACTTGTTAGCAAATTTGACTACTCCAGGAAGAGTCAGTTTTCTAGCACAGCCCCCTCCATTACATGTCATAGCTCTATCCTTTTCTGGGGGTGTCTAATTACGGTCTATTCTGGCCCAGCTCCCTCCATCTCTTCCCTTACCTCCCTACCTAATCTTTTATGTAACCATGTCCTTTGAGTGACAGCTACTGACATTACATCCAAGATGGGTTGTCTATACAAAGGAGGATTTTACAGAGAAATAACATTTGTTAAATGCACATATAATCTTATGGGAAGACGTTTGTTGAAAATGGTCTGGCGACAGGGTGTCTTTAACATATCTTACAGCTCTCATACACGGAGAAGGCGATGGAAAGAGTTGCTTAGTGAGCTAGGTGGTGTTAATTGACTTGAGCCAGGGGGCACATATTAGGGATGTACCGATACCCAGTATTTGGGCGTATACTCGTACTCGCCCAAATGCTCAAAGCCTAGCCCGATACCTGAGCTTCCGGTATCAGGAAGCCGGGCAGCGAGTCATTAACCGCTGCCCGGCTTCCTGATTGGCCAGGAAGCCAGCTCCATGATGAAACTGGACAGCGATTCGTTACCTGCTTTCTGATTGGCCAGAGAGCCTGCTCCATGATCCCTCGTCACCCGGTGACGAGGGAGCATGGAGCCGGCTTCCCGGCCAATCAGGAAGCCAAGCGCCGTGTAATGATTTGTTGCCCGGCTTCCTGATTTGTCGAGCAGCTGGCCAATCGGGAATCATTACACGGCGCCCAGCTTCCTGATTAGCCAGAAAAGCGGCTCCATGCTTCCTCGTCACTTGGTGACGGCTTCCCTGCTAATCGGGAAGCTGGGTGGCGAGTCATTACACGCTGCCTGGCTTCCTTAATGGAAATTCCGGTATTGTTATTCGGTATAAGCAAGTCCTGAAAAAAATATTGGTACTCGATACCGAAAAACCGGTATCGGTGCATCCCCAGCACATATCATCTTAACACCTACATAACTTAAAACTAAGGCTAGCTTAGTGTTTTCCTTTAAATCTGCAGGTGTATGGCAAATCCTGCCTCATTATGCTTTTTGTATTTTTCCCATAGTTGAACCCGTCGCCTTCTGGTTTTCTCACTCAAATGCGGAACGAATGGAGAATTGTGAATTAATGAAGATGTATATGCTATGGCCCGTTTTCATGCATACTTCAAACAACACGACAACATGTTTGCGGACTAAGTAAGTCCCTGATTTTTTTCACATCTCTGATTACAAACTGGTTAACTTAATGGATTTTCTTCTATGTGTTAAAGAAGGGACCTCCATCCAGATCTAATGCTAGTTTTGTTATTGATACAGCAATGAGGCAAGCGCTTGGCTCTCCCTACGTTCCCCGCGAACCAGTGACTCAACAGTTTAGCTCCGCCTCTCTATAGTGATTTAAGCAGCTCAAATTCACTGTGAGGCCTCATTTCACACTGAACATATTGCTCTGTACAGCGTGAAGGGCCATTTTTTTTTAATGCACTTGGAGCTGTGCGCCCTCGCCTGCTGCTTCCCATAGCGCTCAGTTTTGATAGCCGCACACAGACGGGGTACGGACCCGGATCCGTCATGTCAGTCTTTGTGCAGCTGTTAAAAACCGGAGCTGCTGGAAGCAGCGTGTGAGGGTGCACAGCTTTTTTTAGGAGCTGCCTGCACGCTTCTTTGGGCGCTTTCAAAAATGATCCTTTATGCATTACGGAGCAACATGCTCCATGTGAATGAGGTCTAAGAGAAAAGCCAAATGTAGAATCCTTCATGTATTTGCAGCCTTGCCTGGTATACTTGTACATGAGCTGGATTCTACTTTTCTTTAACTAGTGTCCAGTTCCTGTTCCTCTGTTTACTGCAGAGGGGGCAAGAAGAACATGATGTTCTCTCCTCTCTGTCCAATAATAAGGACTCTTAAAGTGAACCTGTTCTTTGCCTATTAGGAGACTGCAAAGCAGGAAGTGAAGTCTGCATATGTAATGCAAAAATATGGCTGCACCCATGTACATATATAGTTACATGGAAACAATAATAAAAAATGAACGTGTTGATAAATTGGTCAGATCAGTTTCACATGTAATAAAGAAACTGTTAAAAAGAAAAATTGTTTCTTTAAATAAGATACCTTTAAACAGGGTTTGCTAAACCGTAGCCCTCCAGCAATGGTGTAGCTCCAAATCTTATCATGCATCTGCCTGTGGGATTCATGTCTGTGCTGTCAGTCTTGCGATGCCTTATGGGCCTTGTAGTTCCACAACAGCTGGACGGCAGACTTTGACTACCCCCTGCTTTTAAAACAACATTGCTCTTAAAGCCCTACACTTGTTTTGAAGTTAGGCTTACGGGTGCTTTCCCCTGTCTACTGCTTGCCTATTTAAAATGAATTTGTCATGATAAATGATGAATCTGTATTATGCAAACTAGGGATGCACCGATACCGGTATTTCGGTATCGAGTACGAGCACCGATATATTTTTTTCGGTACTCGCCGATACCGAGTACTGGAAGTCCCATTCAGGAAGCCAAGCAGCCTGTAATGGCTCGCCACCTGGCCTCCTGATTAGCCGGGCAGCGTGTAAAGTCTCGCCAGCTGGCTTCCCGATTAGCAGGGAAGCCGTCCCCATGCTTATCACTAGGTGATAAGGGAGCATGAAGCCGGCTTCCTGATTGGTCGAAGCTGACCAATCAGGAAGCCGGGCAGCGCGTCATTACACGCTGCCTGGCTTCCTGATACCGGAAGTATCGGGCAAGGCATCAAAGCATTTGGGCGAGTACGAGTACTCGCCCAAATACTCGGCATCGGTACCGATAGTAGTATCGGTACATCCCTAATGCAAACACTATACATGTGATGTGAACATCAAATTGATCCTACTTAAAGACACGTTTTAACCCCTTATGAATATGTTGTGTTTTTCAGAGATCCACTTAGTTTAGAGATGTCACTTAAAGAGTTACATTTTATTGAGCTATTAGAAGATCTTGCTGAGCTCTATAAGAAAGTATCGGTAAGTTTTTTTCACCTGTACCCTTTTCATTAGCAGGGCTGGCTGTTAGGTTGGCTACTTTTGAAGCCTCCTATATATTAAATGTATTCTTTAAAAAAAAATGTAAATCCTTATGGCTGACAGACCTATGACTGTATGACCAAAAGTATGTGGACACCCCTTCAATTTACTGCTTTCATTACCAGTGAAATTTGTGCTGCTACAACATACAAAGACATTTTAGACAATTGTGGTAACCGTTTGATGAAGCCCGTTTTCTGTTCCAGCATGACTGTGCCCCTTTGTACACAAAGCCAGATCCATAAGACTTGGTTTGAGTTTGGTATGGAGGAAGTTGAGTGTCCTACACAGAGCCTTGACCTCAACTATACAGAACACCATTGCGATGAATTGGAACGTTGATCGTGAGTCAGGTTTTCTCCTCCAACATCAGTACCAGACCTCACAAATGCTCTTTTAGCTGAATGGGCACAAGTTTCCACAGACCCACTCCAAAATCTTATAGAAAAGGGGGGAAGCTGGTATAGCTGTATTGGGTGGGGCTGGTGGGAGGAAGCACCATATTAATGCCTATGGTTTTGGAATGATATATCAAGCAAGTTCATGTAATGTGATGTTTTCCACAAACTTCTGGCCATGTATCCATCACTTTAATTTTATTTTTTTGTGCCTTTTCGGAGGTTGTATTTGATTTGAGCTTCTTTTGAGGAGGGTTTTTGCTGTTTTTTTTTGTGTGGCTATATGTGTTATGATAAATTTGATAGCATGGTGGATCTGTTTAATGGTAATCACAAATATGATGAACAGAGAAATCTGTTTTCTGAGATAGTAAGTAACTGTTAGGTAAGGCTTTTGTTCCAGTCAATCCTGCCCATAGGGCTCCAACAACTAATCGATTATGAAAATAGCTGGCAACTATTCGAGAGAGATATATTTTTATTGCAACCAATCGATTAGTTGTAAAAAAAAAATTATTGGGCAACTAATCGATTATGAAAATAATCGTTAGCTGCAGCCCTACCTGCCAGATATGTTGCCATTGATCAACAGAGCCTTGGCAAGGTCTCAGTCCAATCAGCAATGTGCACAGCAGTAGCATCTATCAGGCTGTGTTGTATGTGTTGAGAAGAGCAGAGAGCAGAATCAGTAAAGTAGTTGAATGGTCATAATGCAATCTTTTTGTTATACTGACTGTGGGGTTTTTTTTTTTCCTGTTTCAGGAGCAGCGGTCTTTGGTGGAGGATGCATTCAAAATTGGCTGGAAAATGGAAAAAGTAATGTTTGTTAATGTTTTTCTTTCTTATAAGCTGATAAGTGTTTTTTTTTGTTCAATACATTTTAAAATATGAGTGACTGTTTTGTGGATAAGAACCGTTTATTTCAAAAGTCGTATTGAACAGTATAGAATTTTCAGTGTGTGGTGGACATACTAAATAATGGAAGATCTTGTCACACTCCTTACTGGATATCCCAATAGCAGGGGAGGGTGCTCGTAATGGCTGCGGATGGCGCCGCTGTCATATGAACAGTTTCAAAGAATGTCAGCAGCACACCGAAGTATCCTTGTAGGATCACCAAAAGTTCATTTTATTGAACATTTGTCAAATGAAATCTAGCACTTTCGGGGCCGCGCATTGTCCCTTCAGGCCTAAAGGAGAACTATGAGGTGAATGATTTTCACTCATCCTCATAGTTCGAGCCGACGTGTGACAACGAAACTGTCACTGGTCGGCTCAATAGATTTGGGAAGTGAGCGAACACATACCGTCGCTCGCTCACTTCTCGATCATGTCCCTGCAGAAAGCAGTGACTGTCACTCACGGCTCCCTGCAGGGATTTCCCCGCTCCGATCCTCCAGCGCTGACTGGAGGAGGGGGCGGGTACAGCTGGCTCCTCCTCTAGATAGGCAGATCCAGCTTTCACTCACGCAGCTGGGTGGATCTCAACCGTAATGTTTGGATCCGTCCCAGCTGCAGCGGTCTCAGGTGTAGCTCAGCAGGAGCATCTATACTGAGCTTTGGGTGACGGGAGGACGCTAGTTTGTGTCCTCCCGTGACCCTGGAGAGAACTATGGGGAAAAACACCCCATAGTTCTCCTTTTTAACATTGACCTGCTAAGCCTGATGAAGGGACCCTGCATGGCCCCCGAAAGTGCTTGATTTCATTTGACAATTGTTCTTCAAATGAACCTTTGGTGGTCCTACAAGGATACTTTGGTGTGCTGGTGACATTCTTTGAAACTGAACATACTAAATAAATCACAATCATATGGAAGTGTGATTGGATGGGCAGAAGTATGACTAGAACCAAGATTTCAACAGAAAGGATGGGAATGGTTCTGTTTCAGCCAACCACCCAACAAACATGGTCAGTTGTACTAGTGAAAACGTATTGTCCATTCTTCATCATCATCATCATGAATTTATCATCGAAATATATAGGTATTTGTTTGCAATTGTACTTTGATATGCACATGATCGGGTAGACTGATGAAAGAGATGAACGTCTTGGTGCCCATGTGTTGATGGAAATTGGTCATTTGTATTGCACTAGTTAGGCATATGTCCCACAAAACATTCAGGTAATTTTTTTTAAATCTTGTAAAAAATGGTTTACATAAAGTAGATGTATACTCAAAATGGCTTTTAGTTTGCTAAAGCACTGTGTGTTATAAACAATTGAGATATATTCATTGGTACAAACACTTGTAGATTCCATTGGAAGCGAGCGTGGCAGGGTGACGATGCCGAGCACAGTTGGCACACAGTGGACACAGTGTTGTCACCCTATTCCAGGAAGTTCTTGTATAAGCCCAACTTTGCCAGATCACTATTTTAATAAAATATGCAGATTTAAAAATATTGATATTGGCTTTTGAAAGTGTATGTCAAGCCCAAACAATTTTCTGGCTTGGAATGGATTAGAACTTGAGTTTTTACTGCTTCCCAGGGTTCTGTTAGAGGGGTTAACCTCACTTCCTGTCTTGCTGACAACAGTTCCACTCTACAGGAAGTAAAAGAAGATAATTTAGACCGGGTACACTTTGCTTAAGAAGTCTTTGTCACCTCCATCTAGATATTGCTGTGTACTCAGGAAACAGAAGTATATCTCACCACTGAGAGCAGTGACCTCTGGGAGCATACTATAGGTGTCAGATGGATGTAGGATTACAAAGGGTTTTAATTTTAGGTTTGTTCTCTCGGGCAGGATGAACTAGTCCGGCAGCATTTTGTAATGGGATACGGGTGTTTTCTAACCTGTTGTTCTTCTAATCCGGCCTTTCTCAACCAGGGTTCCTCCAGAGGTTTCTTTAAAGTAGCGTTAAATGCTCAAAATGTTTTCAGTAATGACTCCAGATCAATCAAATATCCATCGCCCAGCAAAGTATTTCTTTATAAAAAAAAAAATTCCCAAGCACTTAGTCATCAGGTGTCTGAAGAGAGATTTCCAACTCTCCCAGCTCTGCTTCCCTGAACTTCCTGTCGGGTTCAAAATCACAGGTGACAGAAGCTATTTTAGCAGCTATTTTATCTACTAGCTTAGAGCAGGGAGGAGAGGCGTGGTTTGCCTTGCTGTGTCTGCGTGTTTGTGTAGACGCACACGGCTCAGTAGCGCACAAACAAGGGTGGCTCCATAGCATATCAGGACCAGTGCACCGGAGACCATTTGTTTCAGCAGGAAGCTAAAACCTTTACATATCAAACAGCATCTACTGGATCAAATGGATTAAAAACCTTTTGACTTTAATTTCACTTTAAGCAATTGCAGACTGACCTCCCATTTGATGGTTCCTGTGTAGTTGCCGGCCAACACCACTTGGCAGTCTTAGTGGCATGGCACTAGTGATCTTTTTAGCTGACTCTTAAGCTGGCCATACACTGAGATTTTCGTCCGGTTCGTGATGAATCAGCCGAAATTCGCACAGTGTGTGCCACTGTCAGCACCTTTTTATAGGCCGGCATCTCTCGATCAACTAATTGAAAGAACCGGTCGGACAAAACTGCAGAGAGCAGGCAGGCAATTATCTGCTGGCTCTGTTTGGGTATTCTAAAAAAGCAGCTGAATGTTAAGTACTCTAGGTATGCCATAGTCTTTATTTATTTTTTACTTTTTAGGGGTTTCGGGGAAATATTAGGAGTCTAAACAGACCCCTGATATTTCACTTTTAAAATAGAAAAAGAGACACGAGTGCTCAATCTCTTTTTCTGCAGCCCCTGTTATCAATGAACAGGAATCCTCTGAGTGTTTCTTTTCATTGATAACATGGGGACAGAGTATGTTTACTATAACCACAATCATGAATGAACAGGGGGTGATATAGATCACTCCCATTCATTCATAATTGAGGATATAGTAACCATACTATGTCCTCGTGTTATGTACAAACACTCAGCAATCCCTGACTGCTGGTACCCGCTCTCCTCTCTGACACGCTGTCACAGGAGGCTGAGCGAGCAGAGCAGGGAGGAGAGCTCCGCCTCCTGTGACAGCACGGCCTGTCTCCCCCCCACACACCGCTCTACAGGACTGTGATAGGCGGCCGAGCGGTGTGGGAGGAGAGACAGCGGCCGTTAACAGCGCTCTCCTACCGCAGCGCTTGGCCGCCTGCGGCACTTTCTCTCCTCCCCGCTGGGAAACATGGGGAGGAGAAAAAGCAGGGATGTGCCGATGTATCGGCCGAAACATGGCACTTTCGGCATTATACCAAAAGTGCAATTTTTGGCCGATTTTATATCGTTGCATCCCTGCTTATTAGCATGGTTCCCAGAGACCTTAAAATTATTTCAAGGTTCCTCCAGAGTAAAAAAAAAAGGTCCTGTTTTCATCTATCATTGAATATCACCAGGATTTCTCCGGGAAGCTCCTGTACAGGTCTGCAGCCCCTTTGCACCCATTGGGTTGTTTTTTATTGCAGTTCAAAGGGGCCTGTTTAAAAAGCCTAATGTCTCTGAGAATCTTCAGATGGAAGCTGCTGTTTTGATTTGTGTAACCCTTAAAAGGTGCAGTGTCTCTGCCTGAGAACTAGCACACAGGCCAGCGGTGGCTTCTCGCATAGGACTTCTGTATAGGACTCGCATGGGACTCGCATAGAACTCGCATGGCTTCTCGCATAGGACTTCTGTATGTGTTCCCAATGCTGTCTAGTTTCATCACAGCAGACTTCTGTTACTGTGCACTTGGGTAATCAACCTCCAGCCCTTCCTGCTTTTGTGTTTGGATTCCAATATTTGAGTGGGTGTGAATCAGAAAGCCGTTAGACAGGATGCCTGAGTCATTCTTGGCAGGAAGCCTTCATGGATTGTTTTCCAGAACAAAACATATTTTGGATGGACGCCATATGGTTGCAGAGTATTAGAAAACCTACATTCCAATATATATAGATAGATATATCTATATATAGATAGATATTCTATTATAGATATCCCACGTTCACATATGACATTATCAGATCAGCTGGTGTAACAACCTAATGCATTTCTGTATACTGAGTTATCGCAAACCAGCAACGTTAAAATTGATCTTGCGATGCTGGCAGCTGCTTTTGTAGTATGAACATTAGGCACCTTCTTGACTATATAGAATGGGAATTCAGTATGGGTTTCTCCAGTCTGGTAATGTACAGTAGTAGTTAAAAAAAAAAAAAAAAAAGGAAAGGAACTGATATGAGGTCTGGAAAATTGACAAATCTGAAAATGGTTGTCCCTGTTCTAATGCTCTGTGTCCTGAAAGAGGGGAGCCTTTGCTCTTCCCATGTAGGGTTTACTTTAATGCCACTTATAATAGGTTTTCAAATAAACTGTAGACTTGCTATTCTATGTTTAGTTGGCTATCTTGTACTATAAGGCCTCATTCACACCAGAAAAGGCCGGCATGTACAGCTCCGTGCTGCGTCCGCATCGGGCAGCTCCCCGGGAAGGACAGGTGCAGCGTGTGATTAGTACGCAGCCCCTGTCCTTCTCTATGGGAGTATGCCGCCCTACGCTCACTTCAAGTGCAGGTCCGTGCGGGTGTCCTGGCTCAGACGCAGATAGGATCCATCCTGTCAGCGTACGAGTACGCTCACCCGCACGGACGTGCAGGGCGGGTGAGCGTAGGGCGGCGTACGGCCGCGTACTCCTAATAGAGAAGGACAGGGGCTGCGTACTAATCGCACAGAGCACCTGTTCTGCCCAGGAGCTGCCCGATATGGCCGTGTATGCAGCACAGAGCTGTACATACCGGCCTTTTCCAGTGTGAATGAGGCCTTAAAGTCGAGGTGCTTCTAGACATCCAGATGGGAGTTACAGTCCTACGTCTAAGATAGGGCTTAATACCTCCAAATTAATGTTTTTGGGTAACAAATCGATTGGGCCACTTAGAACACCTTGTCCGATAGGGGCTGGAACTATATGCAAGCTGGAACATTTTAAACGCCCACAAAGTGGCACCCAGTTAAAGGGCACCTCTCCTCCAAATTGGAGCAAATATCATCCCTCCTCAAACAAAAAGATCTCATGCAGTTAAGAACTTCTGTTTAGAGGATACTCTGGTAAAGATAACATGACATGGTCAGTTTGTGCATGCAGCTCTAGAAGTGGGCTCATTTCTATTCCCAGCTTTGCTTTGTAAGCATTACACCAGTGGTTCTCAACCTTTCTAGGGCCGGGACCCCTTGGTAACATTTGCCAAGTTGTGGTGACCCCCAACGGTAAAATTTAGGAATGACGCGGCTGCTGCAGCGACATCTGGCGGGAGAACTGACACTGCTGCGCTAGGAGAGGGCTGAGGAGGACTCTCACCTAGCACAGCAGAAATCACACAGCGACCCACAGGTTGAGAACCGCTGGTGTACGCTGTCAGAATAAAAAAACACCCTAGGAATGCATTGCTAGATTCCTATTGGCTATTTCACTTTGCAATAGCAAACTAGCTAGTGCACCCGCCCTCTGCTGCTATCAATCAGTAGTGGGGACCTGATGGAGAACTTCAGGTCCCCCTCTGCTGACTGGCAGCAGCAGAGGGCGGGTGCAATAGCTTGTTTGCTACTGGCTATTGCAAAGTGAAATAGCCAATAGGAATCTAGCTATGCATTCCTAGGGTTTTTTTTTTTTTTCTTCTGACTTACGGCGGCCTACGGCCCCCAATGTCAGACAAAAAAGGTTTACTCTGCTCGGGAGAAAGTGTTTCTCTCCCAGGTGGCCGGGAGCCGCTATCTAATAGCAGGAGACTCCCGGGCGTCCCCTGGCAAATTGTCATTCGACCCCCGAAGGGGTCCCGACCCACAGGTTGAGAACCGCTGCATTACACTGACCGTCTGATACATGGCTTTGACAGGTTATACGTCATCAGACTGAAAGACGTTACCTGTAAAAGGGATGGCAGATATCAGAAAGCCCAAACTCCCCTGTTTAGTAATCCACTGTCAGTCATCCTAACACAAAGGCAAGGGCACCATAGACAACTGAATCTGGACGGTGTTGAGTCGGCTATAAATTTGTGTGTGATCAGCTCTGCCAGAGGCGGGAAGCTGTCAGGAGGGAAATACACTGACTGCCATTGCTGACTTCTGAAAACTGATGCTGCCGCCTGTGCATTGTGCTCAGTTTAATCTATGCAACAATTCCAGTGCCCACAAAAGAAGAGGCATCCAGGTAAAGGGCACCTCACTCCCCCAAAACAAAAGTGGCGTTTTAATGGTAGTGCATAAAAAAGAAACAGAATAGCACCACCTTGGATGAGGAGGAGAAACAACTTCCTCACTTTGAGCTTTTTGTGTTTATCTGCCTCTTATTGTACTATTCATTATTGTTGTATATGTTTCTTATATACCCATTCTCTCTTTTCTTCATGTTTTGTTTATTGTCTTGGAAAAATCTTGTTAAATAAAGAATTATACAAAAAAAGAAACAGGAAAGGTACCAAAAACTACAACATTTTATGCCACATACGTAATAAAATCAATATGTTTTTAAAAGAAAAGTCCTTCATGGCAAATGAAACATCTGTTCTAGGCCAACATTATAAGATGTACGACTTGAGTAATGAACTTGCTATAGAAAATGCAGATATAGGTTTCCTCCTCCAAGTAGGTTGCAGATTGATTGGAGACGACATGTAATGCTGGCTGATGTGTTGTCCCAATGTGTTTCACCTCTATCGGCTTCCTCAGCCATGAAGTATAGGGATTCTGAAGCTGGGCATCCAGCGCTGCCTGCTACAAGAGGGGGGGACCACAGGAGGGACAAGGCTCGGACCACACAGTCAGCAAGGAAACCACTTCAGAGTCTGGTGTGGTCGCAATCAGCGCCCCACCATGCAGGATTATTACCAAAAAGCCTCCAGGCTGCTACTGGGCGGCACCATCTTGGATGTGATGTCTGTAGCCCCAACAGACTAAGAGCTAACACTCAGTAGTATCCTGTCTGTATGCAAGGGGGGACAGAGGAGCTGGGTCAGCACAGAGTAATTGGACACTCCCAGATGGGGAATGTCTGTAACGTGTAATTTCTAGCAAGTTCAAAGGTACATTGTAATTTGAATAAATTTTTTTGATGCAAATAAGCATTACAAATACTTGAAGGATCATTAAACCCTCGCATATTTTTGCATAAATCTACTGCTAGCAAAAAAAAGAATTAAGTAGCTTTAAACTTACCTGTGTCTGCGCTGCATGCTCCCGTCCAAAGATCTGAAGATTCTCAGGTGGGCACATGTGCAGTTCAGATCTTCAGCCGGGAGAAGAGGAGAGACACAAGGTAAGTCTATGGAGCAGCATGCACTCGCACAGACTCCATGGGACAGGAAGAGAGAGGAGTCAGCGCTGGATCAGAGACCAGCACCAGCTCTGGAGGGACTCCTGAAAACTACTGGAAAGAAGATGATCTGATCAAGAGGCATCATTTAAAGTGACATTAAACCCTCAGATTTTGTAACATAAACCAATACTGTAATGTGTGCCTTACTGTAATCCATGGTTGTTTCCCTTCTCTTTGCTGCTCTTTTCTAAATCTTCATGTCTTCTCATGCTCTGCAGAACTTCCCTTTGCAGCTCAGGGCCTCTTCCTGTAGTGCTGGCTCAGGTTACAAGCCTATAGAAACTAATACACAGACACCGTATATCCATTCCTGAGACAAGGCAGTCTGCTGCAAAACAGAAGTTCTGCAGAGCATGAGAACAGATTTAAAAGGAAGAGCAGCAAAGAGAAGGGAAACAACCATGGATTACAGTAAGGCGCACATTACAGTATTTTATGTTAAAACATCTGAGGGTTTAATGTCACTTTAAGGTAAATCCTTAAAGCAACATGGGGGGGTGACATTTTTTACTTTAATGTCACTTTAATAATCTAGTATTTTGTTCCAGAAATTTTAGAGTCGGGGATCATAGCTTTCTCTAAACCGTCATATACCGTATTTTTCCGTCTATAAGACGCCCCCATGTATAGGACGCCCCCCACTTTTCTTACCCAAAATCCAGAAATCAATATTTTCCATGCTCTTTTGCATAACTGATTACATCCAGTCTAAATTTTGCAGAGTAAGACAGCCGCTTCCTGGTATTGGTAGTTACCGGGATTTTTTCTGTTTTCTGACATTTTTTGGGCTCAGAATTCTCCGACATTACAGCTCCCTGTTGCATCTGGGCACTGGCTACAGGCTCTCCGCAGCATCAGCTGACGTCGGGTACATAAGGCTCATGATTGGAGGAAACCTGTTAGCTTGTCTCTGCAATCGGAAGTTTCACTTGTGAGGCTAGTTTGCAGAGGTATCGGCAGTTTCGCAACCGCGTTTCTCCTCTCGGCCCCCCGTGTATAAGACGCCCCTCCATTATTAGGTAAATATTTTTATGAAAAAGTAGTCTTATACATGGAAAAATACAGTATGCTCATTGTTGCCTTAAAAGCAGAGCTGAATAAACTAACGTGGTGGGTTGTTTTTTTTTCCCTTTCTTTTAGGCAAAACTTAAAATTAAGAATTGTTATGTAGGAGATGCCATGTTGTGGGTTGAGTCCACGGGAGATGACAATATGTATAAGAAGCTAAAAACACAAGAAAATATTCGCAATCGAGCCCTCCAGACCTTCTTTACTGAGTGTAAGTGACTGCAAGTGACGTGTATAGTGTACATTGTGGATGGTACTATTAAATACAGTAATACCTTGGTTTACGAGCATAATTCGTTCCGGAAGCATGCTTGTAATCCAAAGCGCTTGTATATCAAAGCGAGTTTCCCCATAGGAAATAATGGAAATTCAGATGATTCGTTCCACATCCCAAAAATATTCATATAAAATTATTACAATACTGTACTGTAATATAATAACGTATAAAATATAAAGAAAAATAAACCAATTACCGGTACCTTGGTGGCTGGTGTGAGAGGGACAAGAGAGAGGAGGATTATTGTGTAGGACAACTTTCACTATCGCTAACGAAATCACTGCTATCTCTTGACTCAATGGAATCTTTTTCATTTCGTGAAACCTTAACAAGGAATCTGTCCAATGTGACATTGCATTGTCGTTAAACAGACTCATCGCTCGCACTGCTACAGCCTTATTCGGTGGTGCTTTTCTACAAAATTTTGCTCTTCTTGCAAGACATTTGCTTGTATATCAAAGCAAAATTTTTCAGAAATGTTTGCTTGTCTTGCAAAACGCTCTCAAACCAAGTTACTTGTAAACCAAGGTATTACTGTAAGTATAACAATGGAGGAGATCTGCTGTGAAGAGTCGCTGGGAAGGCAGCTACTGGCTTTGGATCTGTGGTTTTTGTTTTCTCCCCCCCCCCCTTGAAGGTTTTTTTTAGAATGGTAATATTAAACCATGGGTCCTATTTTAAAACAAAAGACACAGATCATAGCAAAAAATTCAAGCTGGGTGGCTAGCAGCACCCAGCTTGACAAGTCAATTAAAAAAATTGACCTAGCCAAGTGGGAAAATGATCAACCGAAAAGTGACTGCATCCTATCGTATACACAACAGCCGGCAATGCATATTACTCCATCAATGCCGTTTAGCGTAGATGGGGAAATTGATTTCTCTCAATCAGCTGGTGGGCTTAATGACTGAAATTTGAGCCTTTTAAGGCTAGTAGTAGTAGTCATGCTGTGCTTTTTATTTTCAGATGGTCAGCCTTTTATATCAACGCACAAGGGTCCTCCTCCCTGTCATGTATCCAATGATAATTCACGTCAGCTCAGAAAATATCATCATAAAACAGGCTGAGATAGTGTAGTAAGTTAAAACAACTTATTAAAATACCGTTAACACTCACATGCTTGTTGTGATCACCCTACAGCATGCAGTTCTCAAGGTACTACTCATTGGTGGTCATACCACTGTTGGTAAGTTTATGCAATCTAAACACTGACACAGGAGGAGGATTGAACACCACTTACGTTGACCACCACATTGAATTATTGCACTTAAAAGAACTATGGGGTAATTGTTTTTCCCCATAGTTCTCTGTAGGGTCACGGGAGGACATATACTAACCTCCTCCCTTGACCCAAAGCTCAGTATATAGCAAGCTATTGCTTGCAATCAACTGTCTTTTGAGTTCGTTTTACTGGTAGCAAAATGGCTTTTATTTATTTCATAGAGGAATGAAAAATAATGAACAAGTACAATATAAAAATGTATCGCAAATAAAGGGGCCATAAAACTTGTATTTTCTTCCCCCCAATAGATGCCTTTTTCTTTATTAAGATGGCAGAAGACCACAGAAAGTTGTCTGAAGAGGTTACAATGCAAGTGTGTGAATTGTGTGAAACGGTAAGACAATAATGAAGGGGGTCCCTGCCTTTCTCTCCTCAGCCAAACGTCACCCAACCATGTGAATAATTACAATACAGAAGATTAAGTTATTAAAGTGTATTTCTGGGCCACATAAAAAAACAAGTTCATTCCTCCTACAGAAATCCAGTGAGCTTGTAATGTCTGCATCCTCTGTCCTTCATCTCCTTGTTTCCATTATTTTCATTGGTTAAATGTCTCTTTACACTGTACCTTCTACCAGGAATCGGAACGTCATAAGATTCTAGGCAACGATGAATTTGCAAAAGAAGATTTTTTTCAGGCAGAAGATGAGTACACCATGGCTATATATTACAGGTAAACTTACTGGATTTATATGTCACAAGCCTGGGCCATTCAAACTGAGCACATAATGGAAAAATGCGGAAGCAGAGGTTACCTTCACTGACAACCTGTATGGCAATTCGTTCAGCACATCTAATGATAATCATGACTTTTCTCATGAATGTCAGGCTTGTCCCCATCTCTCCCCGAACCTCCCTATTAGGGATGCACCGATACTGGTTGTTCGGTATCGAGTACGGACAAAAAAAATGTCGGTACTCGCCAATACCAATAGCGCTAGTCCCCATAAGGAAGCTGGGCGGCGTCTTATTACTTGCCGCCCGGTTTCCCGATTAGCCAGGAAGCCGTCTCCATGCTTCCTCATCACAAGGTGCTGAGCTGCATAGAGCTGGCTTTCTGGCCAATCAGGAAGCCAGGGGGCGGGTAATGACTCGCCATCTCGCTTCCTGATTGGCCAGCTTTCTGACCAATCAGGAAGCCGGGCAGAAAGTCATTACATAGTGCCCGGCTTCCTAATTGGCCGGAAAACCGGCTCCATGCTATCTCGTTACCAAGTGACGAGGGAGCACTAAGCCGGCTTCCCAGACAATCGGGAAGCCAAGGGCCGTGTCATTACCTGGCTTCCCGATTGGCGGGTAAGCCAGCTCCATGCTCGGTGACGAGGGAGCATGAAGCCAGCTACCCGGCCAATTAGGGCCAGAATTAGTAATTTCACGCTGCCCGGCTTGGGCAGCGTGTAATTACTCGCCACCCCGCTTCCTGATACCGGAAGTTCTGGTATCTGGTTGGGCATCCGGAGCATTTGGAAGTACACGCCCAAATACTCGGTATCAGCACCGATTACTAGTATAAGTGCATCCCTACTTCCTATCGTTTGAACTCCAGCCTCACCTTTTTCTGTGCCTGGTAGAAAACTGCTGTGCTGCCTTTTCTTCTTTCCCCCATCCCTATGATGTGCCTCCAATTTTTATTTAAGGGCATTGCAGCAGGCAAACCTTCTGTTTTGCAGACTTCAAGATCCACTGACCATCTTGGACACCCCCTCCCTGGGCTTTAGGTTGTTACACTCACTGCTGTGTCCTATGTGGTGCATACAACTTCTGTAGAGCCAGTTTTATTTGGATGAGCAAGCCAAGCCTCTCTGCAAACTTAATCCTACCTAGGACTCAGGAACAGCTCAAATTCATACTGTAAATTGTTGTGTTGCTCTCTATGTGAGAATGCTGTGCTGTATCTCAGTGAGTAGAACGGAGTTGCTGTTTTTCCTGTTGTATTCGGTGACAATGTGTACAGTATTATCCACTTATACAGGAGCAGTAAGGAATATGGAAGGGGAGGACAGTCTAGTGTCTTACGCTGTGCAATATGATCTGGACTGCAAACACATGTACCACACAGCATCTGGTTTACTGTCTTCTACTCTTCACATTTAGGCAAAGCTGTGTGTGTTCAATCAGATAGGCATGATGTCTTCTAAATGTTGATCGATGCTGAATGGTTGTTACTGCAGTGATGTTCTGGCTCCACCTGACACAGGCCGGTGTACACCCAGGATTGTCATGATTTTTTTTTTTCCTGTGATTTGTAACCAGTCATGTAACTTGGGTATGCTACCGGTATGTACACCCTAAAAAAAAAAACTTCACAAAGTCACACAGGCCATAGGTAGCACACCCTGCCCCTCGCCCATTACCACTCCCCCTGTCTCCTGGTTCACATCTGGGCGGCCCAGGACCACATGCTTGCAGTGCAATGCCGTTGATTTCAATGGGGTCATATCCGCGCAACAAAAAGGCACCTTTTTTGTGCGGTGAACAAACCGCGTTTTTTTGCTTGCGTGTGACTGCACCCGTGGAAACGCTAAAAACAAACGATAAGGTGATCAGTAGGTGACATGTGAAATAAGAGCTACCAAGCACTAAGGATATAAATAAATATCTAGAAAATGTGAAAAACAATATTGTGCCGAGCTAATAATCATACACAATACAATGAAACATATATAAATGAATTGCTTATATGAGCCTTCAAACAAATAAGGCATAAAAAAATGTCTACACACGAAAAAAGCAACAAAAAGTCCCAGAAAAAGAAGGAAACAATGGTGATTGTGCAAGAAAATTCCTCAGATGATTCACAGCCAATCTGCATGTAACTCTCAGGTAAGGATCATTACACAATGCAGGCAGACCTTTACCTCCACTCAGTGAGTGATGACGAGTGAGTGCTCACCTGGGGAGGTAGACCCACAGAGCTAGGTCAGATGCGCTTTTTCCCTTCTTAATGGGGGAGGGAAGCCCATGACGGATAAGGGGATAAGGTCTCCTCAGATCACAGGTACCAGAATAAATCCAAGAGGAAAGAGAAAAAGGACAAGATCACTTCTGTGATGGACTACAATCTCAGGTTTAGCATAGTAATTTGTATTGAGACTGTAGTCCATCACAGGAGTGAGCTTGGAGAGGCGGCTACTTTACAACACACACAGGGACCATGGGGAACACAAGTAGCCCCCCTCCAGAAGGAAGGACGGTGTCGGCACCAATTCAGAGATGAGGATCTACAGCCGAGTGATACACAAATAAGATACATTACTGCTAATATTTCAGGTGCTGGAATGCATTTTTGAGATTTAACTCCTGAGTTTAGTGTCACTTTAAGTAAGGACACAGTTATGGCCTTGTAAACAGGTTCATAGCAGAAATGTAAAAATTGCTTTGGTCTATAGGGGGGTGTAGAGGAAATGAGAGCTAGAAAACCTAAGGTAAATATTTGAGTATTTACCCTGTTGCCAGACCATTCATTTCCAACTTGTGCAGTGATGACTTTAAACAAAATCATTTCTATTTATTTGGTGCCAACAATAAATTGTAATATCAGAAATTGATTCATGGCAAGTTAATGAGAAGAAAAAAACAAACACTTTTTAGTTTTAAATCCCTCCTTGTTCTTTTTGCATATATAAGAAGACGCAAACAGCAGCCTCGTGTTTTCACCGTTTATAATCTATAGAGAGCAATTTACTTCTGTAATTCCCAGTCCAGTTATCTTCCTTGGATCTGTTTGCTAGCAACTTGACACCAGAGAACTGGTTTCGTTTCAGGACACGTTGGTCATACTTACAAGAATTCTGTGGCACGCCTACATTTTTTTTTTTTCTTTCTTTTTCTAGTCCTGAAAATCATATCCTGTTCAGCAATCGAGCCCTCTGCTACATCAGGCTGCAAAAACATGGGTAAGTTCAAAGGAAATACTATTATGTGGACATGATAACAAGTAGTAGTATTAGTAGTAGTCATGTGTTTTTTGATTTTTGTCTATATTCAAAAAATATCCTTTAATTTTCTTTAAAGTGGCCCTGTCAATAGAACATATAAAATATAAGACAACTTTCTGCAGCTCTGTCCCTGCCTATCCCTGAGGCATAGACTGGTCCCCTTTTTGAGCTGGCGGTCTCTGGTGGAGAGTGCCTGTAGGGAGGAGCTTCGCTGTCACAGTTCAGCAGAAGGCCCCAGATCTGGCATGATACAATGCAAGGAAAATTTTTGGAAGCTGGTTTCGGTGTGAGGACCAGAGGAGACAGCAGTAAATACCTTCTTAGAATTCCTTCTCTCTGCACAGAAGACTTTAGTCAGCTTCTTGTGTGCAGGCCCGGATTCCCCACGAGGCCCGGCGGCAGGGCGCAGAGGGGCGGCAGCGGGGTCCTTGTGGGGAAGTTCCCGGGCGTCAGGCGGTTGTTAGGGTACGTGGACTCCTTTAATCGGACCAACCAGAGAAATCCCTTATCAGAGCTCCGGGAGCACAAAATGACAGACACGATTTGATAGTCACAATATGCTCATTTTATTGACGTCGGGTCTCGGTTTATATACACCTCAGACAAAGAAATGGTTATGGTACCATATATGGTTATAGGTCTTATCTTTGCTTAAAATAACACGTAAGCAGTTTAGGAAGAAACACATCTTAACTTACATACGGCCTATATCCGGTTATCCTAATATAGGCTTGTTTGTCCGTTCTGTAATGATCTTTATTCTAGTTTCAGTACATGACAGAAAGATGTGAAACACTCATAGGAACAACACGTACACCATTTTGTTATAAAGAGTACCAGACACAGGGTGACAGGATCTGCACACGGACCATATCCGGGTAATACCTAATAAAGGCTTGCTTTATCAATCCATATCCGGAGAAATTACACACTGTTCTTTTATAGTGTATAATTCACATATTACACGATGGTCTGTTAGGTTACGCAGGGCAACACGGTGATAATTCTCCATTGTAACCTTGTTATCCCAACAGCGGTAAGTTGCCCTCTCCATTTTAGTCCTGCTTTGCACTAGCAGGACTAAATGTAGAGTGAGGCAGCCGATTGTTCGTTTACATGTGAACTCGGCGACATTCTTCTGTGTGATAGCAATAAAGTTAGGTGGAAAAAAAATGTAAATTGATAAATAAAAAAAAACTAAAACAAAATATGAAATTAAATAAAAAAAATTAAAAGGTGATTAAAGTAAAAAATAATAAGAAACAAATTATTAAAAAATAAGAAAATAATTGTAAAAAATAATAAGATAAAAAAATTAT